ATAAATAAAATAAAATAAATAAAACAATTTAAAATGAATGAATGGATTGAAGGGCACTCGGTTGTTCCGCGAAGTGCTCATTTGCTGCTGCGGGTTTTCTTTGGGCGAATTTGAAAAAGAGAAAAATTTGAATTAATCGTAAATGAATTTAAATGCAATAATAATAAATAAAAACAATAATAAATAGTAATAAATAATAATAATAATGTAATAATATTAATCATAGTATTTTATTTCAAAAATAAATAATAATTGTAGGATACAATTGAATGGATTCAAATTTGATGATTAATCGCCAAACAAACATTTCCTCCGAGTTTGGCGTTTTGTTTCTCAAATTGGACTTTCCGGATTTACCGAATTAATGCCATTAATGCCATAAATGGCATTAATGGCATTAATTCCATAAATGGCATTAATGCCATTAATACGTTAAGTGGCATTAATAGCATTAAGGGCATTAATAACACGGATGGCATTAATGGCATTAGTACCATAATGGCATTAATAGCATTAATGGCATTGAGAACATAATGGCATTGATAACAAAACGGCACTAATAAAATAATGGCATTCATAAAATAGTGGCATTAATGGCATTAATAGCATTAATATAACATAATGGCATAAATAAAATAATGGCATTGCTGGCATTAATGCCATTAACAACATAATGGAATTGATAAGATAATGGCACTAATAACATTAATAACATAATGGCATTAATAATGGCATAAATAAAATAATGGCATAAATAAAATAATGGCATTAATGGCATTAATAAAATAATGGCATTAATGGCATTGATAGCATTAATAGCATTAGTGGCATTAATCAAATAATGGCATTAATCAAATAATGGCAATAATAAAATAATGGCATTAATGGCATTAATGGCATTAATAACATAATGGCAAGAGTGGCATGTTTGTGTGCGCAGAGGAGCTGCGGCGGGCGGTGTACTTGGCGAAGATTTGCTGCTACGCGCAGGGCATGCATTTGATAGCAACTGTCTCGAAAGAAAAGCAATGGAATTTGAACTTGGCCGAAATTTCGAGAATTTGGAAAGGCAAGTGGCAATTAAATCGAAATAGCGACTTAATTTAATTCAATTCTATTTCAATTCGAAAAGACGCGAAAATGAGACACTAAATGTCCAAAGTTGCACACGCAGACACAAGAATGACGCAGAGCTAGCTGCTGCAGCAGCAGCAGCAGCTGCTGTTGCTGCTGCTGCTGCTGCTTTTTTCTGTTTTCGCATTTTTGCAATATTGAAGATCTCCTTTTCGTTTCTTGACTCACTAACCATCCATTTAATCCATTTTATTTATTTTTATTTATTTTTATTTACTTTATTAATTTTTTAATTTTTTTTGTTTTTATTTATTTATTTATTTATTTATTTATTTATTTATTTGTTTATAGGGGGCTGCATTATTAGGGCCCGCTTTTTGGAGACGATGGAAGAAGTCTTCCGGAAAAATCCCCAAGTCGAAAATCTGCTGCTGGCAGATGGGTAATTTAATTATTTAGTTTAATTAATTTAATTTAATTTAATTAATTTTTTATTTAATTTAATTTAATTATTTGATTTAATTAGTTTAATTAATTTAAATGGTTTAATGTTTGTTTAATTATTTAATTAATTTAATTATTTAATTTAAATAGTTGTTTATTTGTTTGGTCTGGTAATTAATTGATTTGATTATTTAATTCGTTTTTTATTAAGTGAGTTAATTTTTAATTTGCTAATTTTGCAATTAATCAAATAATTAAAAAAATTATAAGGTAGTTAAACTAATTGATTATATTGGTTTAATTAACTAATTATATTAATTAATTAATATAATTAATTAACTAATCAATTATACTAATCAATTAATTAATTAATTAGTTAATTAGTTAGTTAATTAATTAATTAATTCCAGTCTGTAAATTAATTGTCCTTCGAATTGTCCTTTTTGTCTTTCGTAATTCTTTTTATTTTTAATTTCTTTTTTTTCTAATTTATTATTTGCTTAATTGTTTTTTATGTTTACTTTATATATTTCATTTTTATTTTTTTGTTTTTTTATTTTTAAAATTCTTTTTTATTATTTCCTTCCCCCCTTTTCCTCAACTTCCATCTTTTCATTTAATTTTTATTTCCACCTCCACCTTTTAGTATCCTTTTCTTTATTATTTATTTATTTATTTATTATTTAATTATTATTAATTAATTTGTTTTATTTTATGATTTGAATTATTTGAATTACTGGAAGTTTCGTGTTTGGGGTGTACGGGTGTACACTGCAGTTCGTGTTCATCGATTTTTGCGGATTTTTGCGGTTTTTTGCTCATTTTTGTTCATTTTTTGTGAAATAAAGTTCTAAAAAGGACAATTTAATGTTTATTTTTTGAATTTGGAACGAGTTGCTTCGAAAACGGTGCGTTTTTCTGCAGAATAAAAGAAATAGTGGTGTCGCACTTGCCGGCGCTGCAGCGCGCGCTGGCCTGGGGGCTGGGCTGGGGTGTACGTACACCCCAAGACTCCTCCGCCATTTTCCTCTCTCTTCCCGCTTTTTCTGCAGCTCAGAATTATATTTGTTCTTTTTTGAATTCGGAGTTGCCAACGAATTTAATTCAGGCTCAAAGGGACCTCTTTGGGGCCCACATGTTCGAGCGAAAAGACAAACGCGGGGAGAAGGTCCACGAGCCCCACTGGACTCAGTCTTAACTTGAAAAGAAATCCACTATTTAATTAATTAAATTAATTAATTGATTTAATTAATTAATTATGTTAAATTGGTGAAGTCATTTGAAGGAAAAGGGAAAGAAAGTGAACAGACACAAGCAGCAAAAAGGAAAATCAAAACAGATGCAAATTTGAAGACTTTCGGAGGCAGCTGCTGCGCTGCTGCTGCTCCTGCTGCTCCTGCTGCTTTAGATGCAGCAGCTGCTGCTGCGGACGGTGCTGCAGCAGCTCCTGCTGCTTTTGCTGATGCAGCAGCCCCTGCTGCTTTTATGTTGCAGCAGCGGCTGCTGCTCTAGATGTAGCAGCTGCTGCTGCTTTTGGTGCAGTAGCTGCTGCTGCTCTCGATGCAGCAGCTGCTGCTGCTCTCAACGCAGCAGCTGCTGCTGCTCCCGATGCAGCAGCTACTGCTGGATTTGATGGTGCAGCTGCTGCTGGCGATTTTGGTGAAGCAGCTTCTGCTGCTCGTGGTGCAGCAGCCGCTGTTGATGCTGTAGCAGCTGCTGTTGCTGCAGCTGCTGCTGGTGCAGTGGCTGCTGCTGCTGCAGCAGTGGCCACTGCTGCTGCTGCAGCAGCAGCAGCAGCAGCTACTAGAGACGAAGCAAGAAGTTGTTGAAAGCAAATAAAAGTTTTATTATTTTTGTTTTTTGTAATTTTGCAGAAAAAGAAAAAACGCCAGAGAGAGGCTTTAGAGCTTTCTTTCTTTTTGTTTCTAAGGGGCCTTTAAATATATTTATTTTATTTGTTTATTTATTTATTTATTTTTATTTATTTATTATTTATTATTTATTTTATTTATTGGACGGTTTGCGCCAGCTTGCACAGGTAGGGTCTGTACACCAGAAGGCCCCCGCCGCAGCCTGCCCAGTGGGCGCCCCACTGCTGCTGCTGCTGCTGCAGTTGCTGCTGCTGCTGCTGCAGTTGCTGCTGCTGCAGTTGCTGCTGCTGCAGTTGCTGCTGCTGCTGCGGTTGCTGCTGTTGCTGTTCTTCGTGGAGTTGGTGCTGCAGTTGCTGCTGCTGCTGCTCTTCATCCAGTTGCTGCTGTTGCTGCTGCTGCTGCAGCTGCCTGAAGAGCGCCGCCAGGGCTCTGATTTGCTGCTGCTGCTGCTGCGGCCAGTCTCTAAAAGAAAGCCTCACCACCCTCAGCCCAGCAGCAAGCAGCAGCCGCTGCTTCAGTGCTGCTTTTAAACAATAAATTGCTTCCTGCTTCTCACCAATTGCTGCAGACCCCCAGACCCCACAGCTGCTGCTGCTGCTGCTACTGGTCCTGCTGCTGCTGCTGCTGCGGCTCTTACTGCTACTACCACTGCTGCTGCTGCTGCGGCTATGTTTACCGCTGCTGCTGCTGCTGCTGCTGCTGGGGGGTTTAATAAAGTGGTTGGGGCCGTCAATCTCGAGGACGCAGTGTACAGACGGCAGCAGCAAATCAGCAGCAAAAGGCCCCACAGCTGCTTCTCGAATTGCATGCAGCCCCAGAGCTTTGACAGCAGCAGCAGCTTCCTCCTGCTGCTCGCTGCTGCTTCTGCGCCCCCACCTGCTGCTGCTGCTGCTGCTGCTGCTGACTCGGAGCTTGTCTTCATTCGGCGCTTTGACTTGCTGCAGCAGCAGCAGCAGCAACGGGTCCTTGCTGCTGCTGCTGCAGCGGGAGGCCTCCACCTCACTGGGGGCCTCCCCCAGACCCAGAGGGGCCCCCAGGGGGGCCCCCAGAGGGGCCCCCAGGGGGGCCCCCAGAGGGGCCCCCAGGGGGGCCCCCAAGAGTTTTATTTTGACATTTTGTCTTTCAAACCAAATGGCAAGAGCTGCTACTTGAAGCTGCTGCAGCAGATGTGGACTGGGGCGCCCCAGTTTTGCTGCTGCTTCTGGTGCTGCTGCTGCTGTTGCTGCTGCTGCTGCTCTTGCTCCTGCTGCTGCTGCTCCTGTTCCTGCTCCTGCTGCTCCTTCTGCTGCTGCTCCTGAAGCTCCTGTTGTTGCTGCTGCTCCTGCTGCTGCTGCTGCTGCTGCTGCTGGGTTTGGGGCGCTCCATTCGATGAGTCCTGAAGCAGCTCTGAAGACATTCAGCAATACCATGTCCTGCAGCTCACAGAGGCTGCTGCTGCTGCTGCCGCTGCTACTGCTGCTGCTACTGCTGCTACTGCTGCTGCTACTGCTGCTGGCGCTGTTGCCGCTGCTGCGCTGGCAAACATTTTCATCACGGCAGCCGCTCGCAACTCCATCCGGAATCTGCTGCTGCTCGTGCTGCTGCTGCTGCTGCTGCTGTTCCTGCTGCTGCTGCTGCTGTTCCTGCTGCTGCTGCTGCTGCTGCTGCAGGGCTTCCATTTGCTGGGGCTTGAAGGCGACGCATGCAACAGCAAGTTGCCCCAAAGCGACTTGAGCAGCAGCAGGCTGCTGCTCCTGCTGCAGCAGCAAACTGAATTCTTTCCACTGAGAGAGCCGCAGCAGCAGCTGCCTGTAGATAGCAGCATCTGGCAGCAGCAAGTTGCTGCAGCAGTGCAGCAGCAGCGCCAGCTGCAGCAGCGAACGGCTCGACCAAACCTGCTGCTGCAGCAGCTGCAGCAAAGGGGTGTACATACACCGCAGCTCCGTCAGCTGCAGCTTGGCGCATGCATGCAGCAGCGGCAGCACCAAAGGCAAACAGCAATGCTGCTGCTGCAGAACCAACGCCTGCTGCTGCTGCTGCTGCTGCTGCGGCCATGCGTAGTGCTGCTGCTGAGGCTGGTACTACTGCTGCTGCTGTCGCTGCTACAGCGTTCGTCGTCACTTCTGCTGCTGCTGCTGCTGCTGCACTTGTTGCCTCTGCGCCCATTGCTACTGCGGCCGTTATTGCTGCTAACATTGCTGCCGCTGCTGCTGCTGCTGCTGCTTTTACTACTACTGCTGCTGCTGCTGCTGCAGCATGCGTTTAGCCAGCGGACGTGGGGGCCCTCTGAGGGTCTCGTGCAGCCCTCCAGCAGCAGACAGCGGAGGGGCCCCCTAGGGGCCGTAAGTGGCATTTGCTGCTAGCAACGTTAGCAGCAGCAGCAGCTGCTGCTGCTGCTGCGCTGCAGCTGCTGCTGTGTTGCTGTTGCTGCTGCTGCTTCTGCAAGTACCGGCTGCCAGGGGGCCCCCCGGAGAGAAGGAAGGGGGTCACCTGGGGAGTTAATTTGAAAGATAAAATGAAATTAAATTTAATTTAATTAATTTTAAAAATTAATTTATTAAATTAAATCGTATTTACTATCCATACGCTTCACTTCAAACTCCTCCGGAGCACAGCAGCACCCAGGGGCCCCCCAAGGGCCCCCATGGGCCCCTGGGGGCCCCACAGGTGACCCCAGGGGGCCCATAAAGATTCTTTTAGGGGATTCCTCAGAGGGCCTTAGAGGGGCCCCCTGGGGCCCTCTAAGGGTCACTTAAAGGCCCTTCAGGGGGCCCCCAAGAATGCGCTAAGTGCCTCTGGGGGCCCCCAGGGGGCCCCCAAAAGACCCCCAACGGGCCCCCAACGGGCCCCCAGCTGCTTCCCAGGGGGCCCCCAGGGCCCCCTGTGGGGGTCCTCTGACGCCACGCTTAAAGCTCCCCTTGGGGGCCCCTCGGGGGGCCCCTTCGCCTTGGGGGGCCCCTAAGGGGTGCCTAAGGGGCCCCCAAGGGGCCCTTAAGGGGCCCTTAAGGGGCCCCTATGGGGCCCCTATGGGGCCCCCTGGGGGCCCCTTAGTGGGTCTTTTGAAGGGGTGACTCGTTACCCCATTTGGGGTGTACAGACAGCTGAACGTAAGGAATAAAAAGAGCGAAATAGATTCATTTTTACCTTTTATTTATATCTCCTTTAGTCTTTATTATTCGCTATTTGCTTCCCCATCGCCTCCCCAGGAAAGCTGCAACAAACCCTAAACCCTAAACCCTAAACCCTAAATTGGATCAAATTAGAGCAGCGTCTTTCGCTTCATTTTCGTCTCAGGGAAAAGAGACTCTCATCTACCCCTGGCGCCTTCCAGACAGCGGAAGCAACAGCAGCTAGCCAGCTTGCTGCAGCAGCTAGCCACTTTGCTGCAGCAGCTAGCCACTTTGCTGCAGCAGCTAGCCACTTTGCTGCAGCAGCTAGCCAGCTTGCTGCAGCAGCTAGCCACTTTGCTGCAGCAGCTGGCCACTTTGCTGCAGTAGCCAGCCACTTTGCCGCAGCAGCTAGCCACCTTGCTGCAGTAGCTAGATACACTGTCAGCAGCAGCTAGCCAGCTTGCCGCAGCAGCAAACCACACTGCTGCAGCAGCTAGCCAAACTGCCAGCAGCAGCTAGCCAGCCTGCTGCAGCAGCTCGCCGCGAGACAGTCAATTAGCTAGCTGCTGCTGCTGCAGCAGCTAGCTAATTGTCTCCCAAGCAGAGCAGCAGCAGCAGCTGCCTCCCACCTCTCCAAGGCAAGAGACAAAAGAGACAAAAGATGCAGCAGCAGCAGCAGCAGCACAACCCCAGGGGCCCCCAGCAGCTGGCTAGCTAGACCAGGGGGCCCCCAGCAGCTAGCTACCACTTGGGGGCCCCCCTATAAGCTAGCTAGCTGGAGTTCCGGGGGCCCCCTTAAACCCTAGCTAGCTAGGGTTTGGGGGGCCCCCGTAGATCGTAGCTAGCTAGGGTTTAGGGAGCCCCTCAAGCTAGCTAGCTAGGGTTTAGGGGGCCCCTTAAGCTAGCTAGCTAGAGTTTAGGGGGCCCCTTAAGCTAGCTAGCTAGGAAGCTAGCTAGCTGGGGCTTTGGGGCCCCCCCTTAATCCCTTTTGGCTGGGGTGGGGTGGCCGCTGTCTGCTGCGGCTGCTGCTGCGGCTGCTGCGGCTGCTGCTGCTCAGCCTAGGGTTTAGGGTTTAGGGTTTGGAAGGCTCGCGGGGCCCACGGCGAAGTCCTTCACTTCCTGAAGAATAAAAACAACAAAGAAGAGAAATAAATAAAAGAGAGAAATAAAAAAAGAAGACAAAAGGAAGTAAGAAAAGAGGAAATAGAAAAACAAAAAGACGAGAAATGCAAATGAAATAGAGATGGAGAAATAGAAAGAAATAAAGATATTTAAAGGCATAAACTGGAAATTAAAATATTAAAAGATGTAAATAAAATATTAAAAGATATAAATTCAAAAATAAATAAAAGACAAAAAGAAAACAAAAAGAGAAGAAAATAAAAAAGTGAAAAGGCACTCTGCGAACAAAGCCTCTACGAAGGGGAATGCCGCTGCAGCCTCTTTGAATGAAATTAAATGAAATTAAATGAAAATAAACAAATTTAAATAAAATAAATGAAAATAAATGAAGTAAATAATAAACAAATGACAGATTCTCCACATTTTAAGGATTCGTTCAGCCATATCTTCGGCATTTATTGAACACTTGCAGCTCTTTAAACGAGCAAAAAGGCAATTTTAAATCCATTAAAACAAAACAAAAAAGAATAAATTCTCAAATTTCATTTAATTAAATAAATTAGAAATATTAAAAGAAATAAAGAATCCTGAATTCCCATTCAGTTTCCCTTTTCAACTTCAAACGGCGGCTTCTCGTGTCAGTTTCCTTCGCATATCTATTTGATCCATTAAATTCATTTAATGTATTTAATTTATTCATTTAATTATTTAATTTATTTGATTAATTTATTGAATTTATTAAATCATTTTAAATGCGATTTGAAATTTTCTTGAAAGTATTCAAAAGCCATTCAGCATTCCACAACTTGAAACTCCGAAGCAGGCAGTCAACACTTCGAATGCCACTTTTACGATCTTTTCTTAATTATTGAATTTACTTTCCATTCAAATAATTTTACATTCAAATGCTACAATAAAATGCCATTTAAAAGCCATTTAAAAGTCATTTAACTTCTTTAAAAAGCCATTTAAAAGCCATTTACTTGTGTTTTTGAATGAGATCAACAGCTTCCTAAACAGCTCTTATTTTCTTGAATGAACATGAATTGCATCAATTTTGACCATTTCAGCGCGATTTCAACCACTTAAATGTCACTTTATTAATTTAAAGGCATTTAAATGCCATTTAAAAGTTATTTAAATGCCATTTTCATGCCATTTTAACGCCATTTGATGCCATTCACTTGTGTTTTTGGATGAAATCCACAGCTTCCCAGACGTGAAATGCATCAATTTTGAGCATTTCAGCGCGATTTCAACGACTTATATGTCACTTCATGCATTTAATGGCATTTAAATGCCATTTAAATGTTACTTTAATGTTATTTAAATGCCATCTGATGCCATTTACTTGTGTTTTTGGATGAAATCGACAGCTTCCTGGACAGTTGTGATCTTCGTTGCTTCCTCATCGGGAATAGTAACTCCGAACTTCTCTTCAAAGGCCATCACCAGCTCCACACTGTCCAGGCTGTCCGCCTCCAAGTCCTGCAAAGTTCAAATAATTTAATTTTAAATTTATTTAATTTCGAATTTAATTAATTTTAAGTTCAATTTAATTTCGAATTCATTTGTTTTGCTTTAAATTCAATTTGTGCAACTTGAAATCCACTTTATTTTCTTCACAGTTTCCTTTGAAATTCAACTTGACTTGAAATTCAATTTCTCAATTTCACTATTTTGAGATTCAATTTTTCATTTACTCATTTGAAAAGTTTCATTTCTTTTTATTTAATCTTTTGTTTAACTACTTTCCACTCAGCAGCAGCTAGCTGGCTCTACATAAATAGCCAGCTAGCTACGGCTAGCCGTGGCTAGCTGCAATAGCTAGCTAGCTAGCTAGCTACAGCTAGCCACGGCTAGCTCCAATACCCAGCTAGCTAGCTAGCTACAGCTAGCCACGGCTAGCTACAATAGCTAGCTAGCTAGCTAGCTACCTAGCCACAACCATAGCTAGCGACCCGCAGCTCCCCGCAGCTGGCTAGCCAGCCGCACGCAGCAGCAGCAGCAGCAGCAAAGCGCACCTTAACAAAGTGGGAGTTTGCATGCACTTTGTTTATATCTGCTCCCAACTGCTCCGCAACAACTTCTTTCACTTTTTGCAAAATCTCCTCCTGGCCCTCTCCAGCAAAAAGAACAAAAGAGTTTCTCTCTTCTTTCAGACCCTTTTTCAAACCCTCGGGGCCCCTCAAACGCAGGCTAGAGGGGGCAAAGAGGGGCCCCTGGGGGGCCCCCAGGGGGGCCCCCTGGGGGGCCCCCATGGCGCCGCAGGCGCCGCCGGGGCAGATGGTGTAGCGGTAGGAGAAGTGGACAGAAGAGGGATTTACGAAGGCTGAAAGAAAACAAAATAAATAAAATAATAAATAAATAATTTGGTTTAATTTAATCTAATTTAATTCAATTTGATTTGATTTGATATAAATGATTGGGTTTGGGCAGCAGCAGCGGCAGTCCGCGCATCCGAGCTGCGCATACACCTCAAGAGCTGCAGCAAGCTCAAGCGGGCACACACTGCAGCAGCAGCAGCAGCAGCAGCAGAGAGGAGAAAACAGTGGTCAAAAGGAGGCAGCAGCAGTTGCAGCAGCAGAAGCAACAGCAAACAGAGGAAGAGCTAGCAGAAGCAGCAGCAGCAACTGGAGCAGCAGCAAATGAAGGGCAAGACTGCAGTGGAGACACAGGAGACAACAGCAGATAGAGAGGGGCAGCAGCAGCAGCAGCAGCAGCAGCAGCAGCAGCAAGGGGGAAAGGAGACACAAGACTGGCTGAAGACAGAGACATTCTCTTAATGGATCTTCAACTGCAAGTCCCCCCAAGCCACAGCGAGGAACCCCACGCGGGAGGCAGCAAAAGGAGACAGCGCGAGCAGCAGCAGCAGCAGCAGCGCAGCAGCGCAGCAGCAGCAGCAGATCTACAGCATTAAGGGGCAAAACTAAGAAAGAAAGAAACAAATTGTGCAAAACTGTTAACCCCAGGGGAGCCCACCCATAGCAGGCAGCGCTGCTGTGCCGCAGAGGAGAGCCAGGACACAGAGCAGCATTGTTGCAGTTTGCTGCAGCAATTAAGGGGGAAAAAACTTTAAAATAAAGACAAAAAGGAGGGAAAAGGGGAATTAACGCAGACGGGAAGCCCAGATATGTCCTGCTGCTGCTGCTGCCGCCGCTGCTGCTGCTGCTGCTGCTGCTGCTCGAGTCTCATCTCGCGGGCTGCTGGGACCCGACGCTGCGGCTGTCTCCCCGTCTCTCTATCTAAAATGGTTTCTTTATTTGTTTATTAATTTGAAAAACAAAAAGGGAACTGTAAATACACCAGAAAGTGCCGCGGATCGCTGCAGCGCAGCGCGTACGGAGAAGACACAGAAAAAGACGCGGCGGCAGCGGGTTGACTGCTCCTGCGAGTAAATCTGCAACATTTCTTCTCCTTTTTTCACTAACTGCCTCACATTCAGCGAAAATAACTTTATTTCATTTATTTTAATTCCGTTTTCGCGAAATCCACGGCAGATCAGACATCCCTGTGCCTAGGACCGCCCGCCGCCGCCGCACCCCCCGCTGCGGCGGCAGCAGCAGCACGCCTGCAACTAATTTTCCGTCTTTTGCAGCTTGAACTGATTTTTAAATTCAATTTGCATTCTAAAATTGAATTTAAAATTAAAAATTAATCCTTTTTAGCCGCAACGCGACTTATATCCTTCAAACAGCTGCCGCAGACGCCAAGATGTATCCAGCAGCTTCTTACGGGATTTGTCTTGAATGGCTTTTAAACCATTTGAAACGTTTTCCGCCTTTCATTAGCTTTAATTCATGTATATTTTGGAAAATAAAACTTTGTTTTTGTGTTTTGGAGAATAAAAAATGGAAAACGAGCAGAAATTGATTAAATTGGCTGCTTTCCTATGCACTGCAGCAGCAGAAGAAAAGGAATTGTTGCTGTGTGTCAAAACAAAGGGCAATTTTTATTTTAAAACGTCGCAAATATTAAATTTTATTTGCAATTTAATTAATTAAAAAGGAAATTCCACTTAATTTGAATTGAAAACGAAATCAGAAGCAGATCCAAACTTGAATTTCGTTTGCGAGTCTTTCATTCTATTAATTGCTCATTTCAGTTCCCCCGCAACTCTTACTTCAATTAATTGATTGTTGAACAATAAACAATTATTAATTGTTTTTTATTTAAAAGTAAACAAACTTTAATTGTTCATTAATTGAACAAAAAATCCAAAATTTGCTGGTTGCCTTCACAGACAGCTACTTTATTCAGATATCAAGTCATACTATTTATTGTTATCATTATTATATTATTATCATTACTTTTATTATTATTATTATCATATTATTATTATTATTACTATTATTATTATTCATTATTATTATTAATTATATATTGGAAGGGAAATGTATTTCCATTACAAATTATCTCCTTAGTCTAATTAATTACGTTTTCATATATTTCATCAGCACAGCACAAGGCACACCCCTAAACCCTAAACCCTAAACCCCAAACCCTAAACCCTCGGCCTTATCTGCGGCCCTCTGGCTATTCAAATGAAGCAAAAAAAGAAAAAAGAAAAATCAAAAAGACGCGAAGTCCACCCAAAATGCAGAAACACCACAGGCAGGAGAAACAGCACGTAAATAAAAAAATAAAAAAATAAATAAGAAATGAATAAATAAATAACTGAACAAATAAATAAATAAATTAATAAATAATAATAAATAAATAAATAAACAGTATTTTTGAAATGAAATGCATTTCGTCTATTTCCTCTTCCGACTAGATAAACAAAACATGAAATTTCACTTTCCTTTTTTGCTGCTTCTGTTTTGTTTTAAAAGAAATAAAAAACATTTAAATATATTTTTAATCTCAATTTGAAGAGAAAGCTGAAGAAGTTGCTTTTGTTGAAGTGAAAAGCTAGCTGCTTCGCTGCTGCTGCTACTGCTGCTGCTGCTGCGCTGCTGCTACTGCTGCCGCTGCTGCGCTGCCGCTGCTGCTGCTGCTTCTGAGAAGCCCTGATTCCTCAGTGACAGACGGATCTGCAGTTTGACGCCACAAGTAAGGCCTAGGGTTTAGGGTTTAGGGTTTAGGGTTTACGGGGAAGGCAGCAGCAGCAGCAGCCGGCCCCCGCAGCCGCTCAATTTTGATATAATTTAAATGAATTTAAACACAATTTAAATGAATTTAAATGAATTTAAATATAATTTAAATGAATTTAAATATAACTTAAACGAATTTAAACAAAAAAGAAACATTCAAAACATTTTTTATTTCAAATCGGAATTTATTTCTTTTAATTGCCTTGGAGGCCCCCATTTCAAGTTGAGAAGGAAAATTCTTTTAAAAGTAAATGAAGAACTAAATGATAATTATAGCTATAATTTAAAATTAAATAAATAATAAAATAATAATTACAATTATAATTTAAAAGTAAATAATTAATTAAATAATATTCATAATTATAACCAGCTGCTGCTTCTTTCGATTCTGCGCCGCTGCTGCAAGTAAACTTCTAGGCTGGGCAACCTAGCTAGCTAGCTAGCTATGGCTAGCTAGCTAGCTAGGTAGCTATGGCTAGCTTTATGGCTAGCTAGCTAGCCATGGCTAGCTAGCTAGCTGTGGCTAGCTGTCCCAGAAGCTGCGGGCTGCAGCAAAACAAAAAAAAGAACTCCCTTTTCGTTTTTCTCAAGACAAGCTGCTTCCAAAGGCTGCTGCTGTTCAAAACAGAAAAAAGGATTTGAGCCAAAAGCTGGCTAGCTAGCCAGTTAGCTAGGTGGCTAGCTAGCTAGCCAACTAGCTAGCTAGCCATCTAGCTAGCTGGCCGGCTGGCTGGCTAGCCAACGGCGGGGCTCTGTCCTAGCCAGCAGCTTACTGGCTAGCTAGCTAGGCTCCCGCAGGCCCAGCTTGGTGATAAGCTAGCTGCTGAACTGATTGGCTATCTAGCTAGCTAAGCAGTGGCTAGCTAGCTGCGCCTAGCTACCTGGCTAGCTGCCGCCGACTAGCCAGCTAGCTGCGCCTAGCCACCTAGCTTCTGGCTAGCTAAATAACTGCGCCTAGCTGGCTAGCTAGCTGCCGCTGGCTAGCTCGCTAGCTAGCTCGCTAGCTAGCTAGCTAGCTAGCTAGCTAGCCAGGTTCGCTGGCATCGCCAGTTGCTGCATGAGCGAAGGCCTCAATAAAGCGGTCAAGGGCCGCCTCGCCTTCTGCTTCTGCTGCTTCTTGCTGCTGCGCGCATGCAGCAGCAGCACTTAGTAGCAGCCCCTGAACCTGGGGGGCCCCCAGGGGCCCCCAAGGCCCCGGGGGCCCCGGGGGCCCCCAAGAAACAGACAGGGGACCCGCCAGTTGGCTGCTGCG